ATTTTCAGGCATTTTTGTGATTTTTGCAATTTTCAGGAATTTTCGCGATTTTTGCAATTTTCAGTAATTTTCGCGATTTTTGCAATTTTCAGGAATTTTTGCGATTTTTGCAATTTTCAGGAATTTTTGCGATTTTTGCAATTTTCAGGAATTTTTGCGATTTTTTCAATTTTCAGGAATTTTTGCGATTTTTTCAATTTTCAGGAATTTTCGCGATTTTTGCAATTTTCAGGAATTTTTGCGATTTCTGCAATTTTCAGGAATTTTTGCGATTTTTGCAATTTTCAGGAATTTTTGCGATTTTTGCAATTTTCAGGAATTTTTGCAATTTTTGCAATTTTCAGGAATTTTTGCGATTTTTGCAATTTTCAGGAATTTTTGCGATTTTTTCAATTTTCAGGAATTTTTGCGATTTTTTCAATTTTCAGGAATTATTTTTGCAATTTTCAGGAATTTTTGCGATTTTTGCAATTTTCAGGGATTTTTGCGATTTTTGCAATTTTCAGGAATTTTTGCGATTTTTTCAATTTTCAGGAATTTTTGCGATTTTTGCAATTTTCAGGAATTTTTGCGATTTTTGCAATTTTCAGGAATTTTTGCGATTTTTGCAATTTTCAGGAATTTTTGCGATTTTTGCAATTTTCAGGAATTTTTGCGATTTTTGCAATTTCCAGGAATTTTTGCGATTTTTGCAATTTTCAAAAATTTTTGCGATTTTTGCAATTTTCAGGAATTTTTGCGATTTTTGCAATTTTCAGGCATTTTTGTGATTTTTGCAATTTTCAGGAATTTTTGCGATTTTTGCAATTTTCAGGGATTTTTGCAATTTTCAGGAATTTTTGCAATTTTCAGGAATTTTTGCGATTTTTGCAATTTTACAGGAATTTTTGCGGTTTTTTCAATTTTAAGGCATTTTTGCGATTTTTGCAATTTTCAGGAATTTTTGCGATTTTTGCAATTTTCAGGCATTTTTGTGATTTTTGCAATTTTCAGGAATTTTTGCAATTTTCAGGAATTTTTGCGATTTTTGCAATTTTCAGGAATTTTTGCGATTTTTGCAATTTTCAGGAATTTTTGCGATATTTGCAATTTTCAGGAATTTTTGCGATTTTTGCAATTTTCAGGAATTTTTGCGATTTTTGCAATTTTCAGAAATTTTTGCGATTTTTGCAATTTTCAGGAATTTTTGCGATTTTCGCAATTTTCAGGAATTTTTGCGATTTTTGCAATTTTCAGGAATTTTTGCGAATTTTGCAATTTTCAGGAATTTTTGCGATTTTTTCAATTTTCAGGAATTTTTGCGATTTTTTCAATTTTCAGGAATTTTTGCGATTTTTGCAATTTTCAGGAATTTTTGCGATTTTTGCAATTTTCAGGAATTTTTACGATTTTTGCAATTTTCAGGAATTTTTGCGATTTTTGCAATTTTCAGGAATTTTTGCGATTTTTGCAATTTTCAGGAATTTTTGCGATTTTTGCAATTTTCAGGAATTTTTGCGATTTTTGCAATTTTCAGGAATTTTTGCGATTTTTGCAATTTTCAGAAATTTTTGCGATTTTTGCAATTTTCAGGAATTTTTGCGATTTTTGCAATTTTCAGGAATTTTTGCGATTTTTGCAATTTTCAGGAATTTTTGCGATTTTTGCAATTTTCAGGAATTTTTGCGATTTTTGCAATTTTCAGGAATTTTTGCGATTTTTTCAATTTTCAGGAATTTTTGCGATTTTTTCAATTTCCAGGAATTTTTGCGATTTTTGCAATTTTCAGGAATTTTTGCGATTTTTGCAATTTTCAGGAATTTTTGCGATTTTCGCAATTTTCAGGAATTTTTGCGATTTTTTCAATTTTCAGAAATTTTTGCGATTTTTTCAATTTTCAGTAATTTTTGCGATTTTTGCAATTTTCAGAAATTTTTGTGATTTTTGCAATTTTCAGGAATTTTTGCGATTTTTGCAATTTTCAGAAATTTTTGGGATTTTTGCAATTTTCAGGAATTTTTGCGATTTTTGCAATTTTCAGGAATTTTTGCGATTTTTGCAATTTTTAAGGCATTTTTGCGATTTTTGCAATTTTCAGGAATTTTTGCGATTTTTGCAATTTTCAGAAATTTTTGCGATTTTTGCAATTTTCAGGAATTTTTGCGATTTTTGCAATTTTCAGGCATTTTTGTGATTTTTGCAATTTTCAGGAATTTTCGCGATTTTTGCAATTTTCAGTAATTTTCGCGATTTTTGCAATTTTCAGGAATTTTTGCGATTTTTGCAATTTTCAGGAATTTTTGCGATTTTTGCAATTTTCAGGAATTTTTGCGATTTTTTCAATTTTCAGGAATTTTTGCGATTTTTTCAATTTTCAGGAATTTTCGCGATTTTTGCAATTTTCAGGAATTTTTGCGATTTTTGCAATTTTCAGAAATTTTTGCGATTTTTGCAATTTTCAGGAATTTTTGCGATTTTTGCAATTTTCAGGAATTTTTGCGATTTCTGCAATTTTCAGGAATTTTTGCGATTTTTGCAATTTTCAGGAATTTTTGCGATTTTTGCAATTTTCAGGAATTTTTGCAATTTTTTCAATTTTCAGGAATTTTTGCGATTTTTGCAATTTTCAGGAATTTTTGCGATTTTTGCAATTTTCAGGGATTTTTGCGATTTTTGCAATTTTCAGGAATTTTTGCGATTTTTTTCAATTTTCAGGAATTTTTGCGATTTTTGCAATTTTCAGGAATTTTTGCGATTTTTGCAATTTTCAGGAATTTTTGCGATTTTTGCAATTTTCAGGAATTTTTGCGATTTTTTCAATTTTCAGGAATTTTTGCGATTTTTGCAATTTTCAGGAATTTTTGCGGTTTTTTCATTTTTAAGGAATTTTTGCGATTTTTGCAATTTTCAGGAATTTTTGCGATTTTTGCAATTTTCAGGCATTTTTGTGATTTTTGCAATTTTCAGGAATTTTTGCAATTTTCAGGAATTTTTGCGATTTTTGCAATTTTCAGGAATTTTTGCGATTTTTGCAATTTTCAGGAATTTTTGCGATTTTTGCAATTTTCAGGAATTTTTGCGATTTTTGCAATTTTCAGGAATTTTTGCGATTTTTGCAATTTTCAGGAATTTTTGCGATTTTTGCAATTTTCAGGAATTTTTGCGATTTTTTCAATTTTCAGGAATTTTTGCGATTTTTTCAATTTTCAGGAATTTTTGCGATTTTTGCAATTTTCAGGAATTTTTGCGATTTTTGCAATTTTCAGGAATTTTTGCGATTTTTGCAATTTTCAGGAATTTTTGCGATTTTTTCAAATTTCAGGAATTTTTGCGATTTTCGCAATTTTCAGGAATTTTTGCGATTTTTGCAATTTTCAGGCATTTTTGTGATTTTTGCAATTTTCAGGAATTTTTTCGATTTTTTCAATTTTCAGGAATTTTTGCGATTTTTTCAATTTTCAGGAATTTTTGCGATTTTTGCAATTTTCAGGAATTTTTGCGATTTTTGCAATTTTCAGGAATTTTTGCGATTTTTGCAATTTTCAGGAATTTTTGCGATTTTTGCAATTTTCAGGAATTTTTGCGATTTCTGCAATTTTCAGGAATTTTTGCGATTTTTGCAATTTTCAGGAATTTTTGCGATTTTTGCAATTTTCAGGAATTTTTGCAATTTTTGCAATTTTCAGGAATTTTTGCGATTTTTGCAATTTTCAGGAATTTTTGCGATTTCTGCAATTTTCAGGAATTTTTGCGATTTTTGCAATTTTCAGGAATTTTTGCGATTTTTGCAATTTTCAGGAATTTTTGCAATTTTTGCAATTTTCAGGAATTTTTGCGATTTTTGCAATTTTCAGGAATTTTTGCGATTTTTTTCAATTTTCAGGAATTTTTGCGATTTTTTCAATTTTCAGGAATTTTTGCGATTTTTGCAATTTTCAGGAATTTTTGCGATTTTTGCAATTTTCAGGGATTTTTGCGATTTTTGCAATTTTCAGGAATTTTTGCGATTTTTTCAATTTTCAGGAATTTTTGCGATTTTTGCAATTTTCAGGAATTTTTGCGATTTTTGCAATTTTCAGGAATTTTTGCGATTTTTGCAATCTTCAGGAATTTTTGCGATTTTTTCAATTTTCAGGAATTTTTGCGATTTTTGCAATTTTCAGGAATTTTTGCGGTTTTTTCATTTTTAAGGCATTTTTGCGATTTTTGCAATTTTCAGGAATTTTTGCGATTTTTGCAATTTTCAGGCATTTTTGTGATTTTTGCAATTTTCAGGAATTTTTGCAATTTTCAGGGATTTTTGCGATTTTTGCAATTTTCAGGAATTTTTGCGATTTTTGCAATTTTCAGGAATTTTTGCGATTTTTGCAATTTTCAGGAATTTTTGCGATTTTTGCAATTTTCAGGAATTTTTGCGATTTTTGCAATTTTCAGGAATTTTTGCGATTTTCTCAATTTTCAGGAATTTTTGCGATTTTTTCAATTTTCAGGAATTTTTGCGATTTTTGCAATTTTCAGGAATTTTTGCGATTTTTGCAATTTTCAGGAATTTTTGCGATTTTTGCAATTTTCAGGAATTTTTGCGATTTTTTCAAATTTCAGGAATTTTTGCGATTTTCGCAATTTTCAGGAATTTTTGCGATTTTTGCAATTTTCAGGCATTTTTGTGATTTTTGCAATTTTCAGGAATTTTTGCGATTTTTTCAATTTTCAGGAATTTTTGCGATTTTTTCAATTTTCAGGAATTTTTGCGATTTTTGCAATTTTCAGGAATTTTTGCGATTTTTGCAATTTTCAGGAATTTTTGCGATTTTTGCAATTTTCAGGAATTTTTGCGATTTTTGCAATTTTCAGGAATTTTTGCGATTTTTGCAATTTTCAGGAATTTTTGCGATTTTTGCAATTTTCAGGAATTTTTGCGATTTTTGCAATTTTCAGGAATTTTTGCGATTTTTGCAATTTTCAGGAATTTTTGCGATTTGAAAGTGTCCAATTCGGCCCACCCTGTACATCATACTTACGTCATTATTTTTATCACTGTTGAGGAAGTGTTCTGCCACATGTACAGGCAATATATTCGCTAATAGCTTCCTATTGTACGCTTCTAAATGCTCCATATCTTCTTTCTCCTCTGCAAAAAAATATTTAAAATTTATGGCAAAATATCCAGGTCCGGTTTAGGGGTGTGGAGATTCCTGGGGCAACAAAGAAGTGGACGCCGCCTGGCATTTAATTATTTTTCAAATAAAAAGAGAACTTTCAGTCATTTTCAGATTGAAGAGAATATTTAAGAATAATATAATCATGATTGTACAGAATTCTATGGGTAAAACACAGGAAAAAACTTTTCCTTGAAGAATACCAAAGGAAAAGTTGATAATTCAATTCAATTCAATTCAATTTTTTATTGATCCATTAAAACGAGCTTAAAAAGCAATTGGACAAGTCAGTACATATCAAATACAGATATAAAATACAAGTATATAACAAACACATTCGTAAATTATTAAATTAAAACAATCAAGTGAGCGAAAAAAGCAGCAACGATGAAAAATAATACAAAACATTTTTACTAATGTAGGTGGGAAAAAAACTCTTCGATTGTATAGGGGCTAATTTCAAGAAGTAGTTGTTTTATTTTATGTTTGAATACTTGTTCCTTGGTTATGATTTTGAAAAACTCCGGAAGTGCATTGTATAATCTCAGCCCCAAAATCTCAAACGAGTTCAGACGTAGAGATAAACGTGTTTTGGGTATGTGAAAATCATTTCTGATACGTGTGTTATATTCATGAAAAGATTGGTTTTGTTTAAAAACTTCTTTATTTTTATGGATGTACAACAAAACTTCCAGAATGTAGAGACCTGGTAGAGGCAAAATGTTGAATTTTTTAAATAGTGTTCTACACATGTTTGTGACGCGTTTGCAATGGTTCTGATAATTCTCTTTTGCGTTACAAAAACATTGTGTGCAGGTGGAGAATTTCCCCAAACAATAATCCCATAGTTAATTCTTGATTGTATCTGCCCGTGGTAATATAAAGTAGACCAGATTTGTCTAGAATTCTTTTCAGGTTTCTTAGCAGATAACACTGCTTATTGAGTATTTTAATGAGATTATCGCAGTGCTGACGGAAATTGAGATTGCTGTCTAGATAAAGCCCTAAAAATTTTATACTGTCAACTCTTTCTATCTCAACATCGGATATTTCAATATTAAAGTCCACCGTGTTGGTATTTTGGGCAGTATGGAAAGCTACTGCTTTCGTTTTGGAGGCATTCAAAAATAATGAGTTTTCACTAAACCAATTTTGCAAGCTATCAAGATCAGAATTTATATTTTGTTGCAATTCAGACAAATATTTTGATTTAAATAGGAGGGAAGAATCATCAGCATACAAACAAGTGAGTGACTTTGGCAAAACAGATGGCAACTCATTGATATAGAGAATAAAAAGGATTGGCCCCAAAACAGATCCTTGGGGAACACCTATGTCATTATTTAACTGATCAGAAAAAAAAGTTTCGTTGTAATTCTCATTCGAATATTGTATTTTGACAGCCTGGGTGCGATTTGAAAGATATGATACGAACCATTCATGCCTGAATACCTCTAATACCAGTTTTGTACAGTTTGTCCAGGAGATTTCCGTGTTGTACGCAGTCGAAGGCGCGGCTGAGGTCACAAAAAATCCCAGGTGGGATTTTTCGCCTGCTTCAACAGCCTGTAGAAGATTCGAATAAAAAGAAATAATTGCCGTTGTAGTGGAATGATTCGATCGAAATCCGTGTTGGTTCGGAGTTAGAATGTTATTTATATTCAGAAAGTTATGTAGAAATTCCAACATTACGTATTCGAATACTTTTGAGAGTGATGGGGAAACAGCAATAGGACGATAATTTTCCAAAATTATGAGAATTTCCTTTTTTCAGGATTGGAGAGACTATAGTGAACGAGGAGAAAAAAAAAAAAAAAAAAAAAAAAAAAAGGGAAAGAAAAGAGAGAGATTAGGGGCGCTATGATGTAGGGTGCAATCTTTTAATCACATACCCAGAGATGCCATCTGATCCACACGAATGTTTATTTTTGATTTTGTCCCTGATAACCTTCAGTATATCATCTTCACTGACATATGTAATGAACATACTATTCTCAATACTCGGTAAGCAAATTAGTCCTCAAGGGGTTAATATTTTTAGTTTTATTTATTTTGTCAACAATATCATGTGGTGTATTCACAAAAAAGTTATTAAAAATATTAGCGATATCAAGTGGATCTTCTACAAGACCATCATTACTATCTATAGTTATATTACTTTTCTTCGTGGTTTTTCCTGTTAACTCGTTAACAACAGACCACGTGTTCTTATTCACATTACCTGAAGAGTAAATTTTATTTTGATAATATATACTTTTGTTTTTTCTTACCAGAGTTTTATGTTGCTTTTTTTGTGTTTGGTAGAATTCTTTCAGGGGGGATTAGTCTTCACCTGCTGATAAAGTTCTTTAAGATTTTTACTTGATACGTACTGTAGTGTCTACTGTCGAAATTTGTAAGATTTTTAGTCTTTATTGTGGGGCCCCTTTTTTATGGAGGCCCCTCTATAGCCCCGGATGCCCTACTCGAAACCCAGCACTGAAAATATCGTGCCTGTTTTGTTTCAAAACATTGGGAACACCGGAATATCAACAGGGCACCGAGTTGGCCATGAATTCCGAAACGCGAAATACATTGTTCAACATCCGAAGTGTATCAAGTGCTGACGAATAGTTTCAGAAACATTGTTTGGAAAGATAATGTAATATGTTGATCATGTAGAATATCACTAACCTGTTGCTTGAAGCTTCCACACGAAATCTAACCTATATGTTGCCTCGATCTGTTGTCCATGTAGAATTAGGGCTATCACGAAACCCATCAAAATAACAATGTTCAAATACTGGTGTGTCACAGTCAACTCACTGGAATATGAAAAAAAACCGTATTTAAACTTGCTGATTGATATTTTTCACATATTTTTATTAGTCAAACATCGGACATTGAAACATCGAAACAGAACTGTCATACATAACTATACATTTAGTTGTGCATGAGAGTAGAGTTTAAACCCAATTCAGAAAAAAAATTGACAGTATTCAATAAGTCATCAGTTTTAATAATAATTTATTTCGAAATTCGACTTCGGCGTTGCGTTTTGGTTTGAAAGATATGAAAAATGGACTACTCGGTCGGGGTCACGTGACTTACATGTCAAAAGTTACATTTTTTTCAAATTCATCGCTGAAATTAGGCTTATTTGTTTGAATTTCGAAAAAGTTTATGGAGAAAGGTTGTTTCTATTCCAATGGGCTTATATCACAAAAATAAAATTATTTCATAATTGGATAGAACCCAGCCAAACTAGCTCACCACCGCAAACCGTTTCTTGCTGTGAGCTCCCTACGTTTTATAAAAAATTATTGAAATCCCCGATTTTTCGGACCTCTGATAACGAGGCGATGATGTGACGTCAAAACCCTAATACTGAAACAAGACTATTCCAGACAGACATGAATGATACATGATTTCTGACAGAGTGAATTAGCGCGAGATCATAGTTGAAAGAATTAATATATCTGTTGCCTCAGTCTCCGTTGGGCGTTTGGTATTTTCTTTCAACTATGGCGACAGAGGTTTCTACGTCATAAGAGGGTCCGTTTTCAGAAAGTACTATTATTTATGTCCAAAAATAAAACATTCCAGTTAATTTTTCGATCGAATTATGTCGTCTATCATTATCTATGTATAAAAGGATCATTATAAACATGGTTTGAGTTAAAAGTTCTACATGGTTCTACTAAGGTGTACACGCCCATTTAACATATTTGTCCCGAATTTAAATGTTTCCTAACAACTGTTAGTTCTTGATATTTTTTCAGTATCTAGGAAATGTCTGTACTATTAAAAAAAATTAACAACAATGAAACTATTTTATTCTAGTAACTTCGTTAAAAATCCACTTTCAATGTCATTTGAAAAAAAAATGTTCAATTACAGCAGATTTTATGATGAAATGATAAAAAAGGCAACGACACGCGGTGTTCCCAAGCGGTCACCCATCCAAGTACTAACCGCGCCCGACGTTGCTTGACTTCCACGATCAGACTAGAGTCCCTGTATATACCTTAGACAAGAGTCCGGACACAGCTATACTTCTGCCCTTTTCTGTTTTCAAAAAATGCATTGATGATTGAATAAAGGAATAAGACATATATATCGAGCTCTGTCTTTTCAATTCCCCTAGTATCAATGATTGTCAGAAACAATTTTGAGGGTTAGATTATTTGTCAAACCGTTCCTAGCCGTAGGTAGAAGTGGGAAATATGGTTATTTTAACTAAAATAACTATTAGATTTTTAAATAATGAACAACAGGGTGTTCAAATTTCGAATCGATAATTTTCATAATCAATTCCTGTGATGGCTATTGCAAATTTTCGTCATCACTTCACTTCATTAGATATATAAGAAAGATAATTTAAGTGTTTTGCATGGTATCACATATAGCGAAGAAAATATAGTTGTTTTCTGTTGGCATATAAAAAAATAGAAGGTATATAATTGTTTCAATAAAATTCTGATTGTATCGGTTTCCCACCTCTTCCTGCAGTCTACATTCACCTGTTGATTTCTGAATTTAATCTGAATTAAAAACACCGTGGACTGATGACATAGCACATTGCAATTTCTCTAAATCTTCTAGTTTTGATTTCGATCTTCCAATTTCTTTCTGCATCATCTCATTCTCATTTTATTTCTCTTCGATCGTATCATTCAGTAACGGAACTCTTTTTTTGAACGTCTCTATATTTTATAAATTGACGGCACAGCAGACTCTTTCAATTTGAAATCCATCAGCTCGAAAGAATCTCTATCAAAATGGGCCTAAAATTCGTCTTTTTTGTACTGTTTTTAAAAGTGAATTTGAACATTTACCTCACATATTGCGGAATTCTTGAAATTATAGTATTCCATTCTAGACGTCTCATTGCATTCTTCCATGACATTATCTTTAAAGGATCATTCGGAAAATTGAATAACTTGAATCCCTCTTCTAATGAATTATCGCAATAATGTACGCAGCAGGACATTGAAATAATTTAAAATGCTGAGTTTTGGCGGTCATAAAATTTTGAAGTGACAGTGACAGAAATTCGAAATAATTAAATAAAGCGGGCGGGACGACTATGGTGTTTCGTCACATTGTCAGGTGAGCAAACCAAATGAAACAAAATATTAAAAACCCCAACGGCTGTCAGTTTTGTGTCCGGACTCTTGTCTAAGGTATATACAGGGACTCTAGATCAGACGAGTGTGGGTATATTTCAACGTGGTATGGTCGTTGCCTGAAAATTGCTGCTGATCAGGTAGGTATTTGAACGTTAACCAATGAAATGAAAAATTCAATAAATAATTCTGAATGTTTCACTGTCATGTTGTGTCCCAGCGAGCACAAAAACATCTCAGAGATGTTAAAAGTACGAGATTTCGAGACATTGAACCTCCACTGCGATGTTCTGTTCACACATGAATAGAACTATTATAGAACAGCCAATGTCCGCCGCAGGCAGCAATTATCGAGATGTCCTTGATATGTCACAAAACTACCTTCTCCCTAGCCTTTTCATGGACACAACAAAACATTTTCAACGCGTCTTGCGCACATTAAATCGCTGTAGAAAAACCATTTTCGAGGTACTTTTCTGAAGCCTTCTGTCAAAGAACTTTTGCATTAGGATTCCATTTCCCTTGAATGAAAAAATGCATTAAAAATAGAGTGAACATAAAAATATTTTCTTGATATGTAATTACCTTCTTAATTGGTTTCTGAGTAGTGCTTACTACACACAGACATATAATTGGAAATAGGTTTCCCAATTTTTGAAATGTTCTCCACAATGCATAATTTTGCAACTGCGGAGAAGCTGTGTATTGATAAATTCGTACTTCTATATATGGATTACACTGAGGCACCGAACAACACATCTTGCATCTCATGGTCATTATTACAAACTAAATAAGTCTTCTAACACAATAAACTACACCAAATTCCTTTCTGTTCGTTAGCAGCGTGATGTAAGCGTGACACGTACGCTGCAAATGCGAATGCCAATTGCGAACAAGAAGAACAAAATCGAAAACAAATCAGAATTCATCGTATTGTGACGTAAGCATGAGACGTTGTGGTGGGGCAAACAAAGAAAGGGCACAAAAGAACAAAAACAATACTTTCAATATCCTTCTAAGACCTCTTTGGGAAGTGCATATTACGCCTCAAAAAAACATCCTCATGTCTACATTTCTAAAACATCCCAAAACATCCCAGGGCTACCTCTCAGTAGGCAAACAAAGAAATGCCACAGAAGAACAAAAACAATACTTCAATATCCTTCAAAGACCTCTTTGGTCAGTGCATATTACGTCTCAAAATAACATCTTCATGCCAACATTTTCAAAACATTCCAAAACATCCCAGGGATGTTTGTGCTCGCTGGGGTCAGAGTCAATTTTGATAACCAATTTGAGAATCACTAATTAACGAGAGGAATATGACTTTCTTCAGAAAATAGTAATCTTCGCTTCAAATTTCTGTTACGTTTGATGCAGCCATTTATCAAAATGATATCAAACTATTACAATTATAAGAAATCAAAACATATCAAGAAGAAAGAAAGAAATTCGAGACACATGGTCTTGAACTGGAATAGAAACCACTTATTAGAACTTTTTTGAAATTCGAACAAATGAGCCTATTATCAGCAATTAATTTGAAAAATTTTACTTTTGAGAGTCATGTGACTTCGACCGAGTAATCAATTTCGAAATAAGTTTTAACAATAAAAGTTTTTCCTATATGATATGCCAACTTCATGAATAACAGTACCTATATACGAGTAATTAAAGTTGATGGGGTAGGTATCGATTCAAATTATGAACAGTGCTTGCGTTCAAACCATTACATTATGTTACCCAAATATTTCTAACCGAAACAATAACGGTATGGTGATTATAATTTCATAATTTCCGTCAGAAACATGTTGCGGTATACAACCTAATTAAATTCTAAAGGTAATTTGAGTAGATGTTCACTGCGGTTCGCTGAATGAAGCCTTATTAAACCGAATGGAGCTGTGAAAGGGTAAAAAAATGTGGCTTCCAGATATTGTGGATCCGTTCAACCTCCAGAAGTCACGATTCAATCTCTGCATATCACTAAGAAATTGCAATAGGGGAGACCACTGATTTTCTGAATTTTGAATTTTCTCATTCATACTAGGAAGATGAAAAAATAAATTGAAATATGTTCATTTCAAAACACTTCCTGCGCTGTTTGAAATGGTGTCAATTCATTGGTCGTGTGACTAGTGTGACGTATTAGTCCCAAACACGCCTATTGTCCTTGAGCTGACCAATCACACTGCATCAGTCAGTCAGCTGCTTATGATTTATAAGGCACAGATCCGACCTGTCCTGGAATACTGTTCCCATATTTGGAGTGCAGCTCCCAAACATACCCTGAAACTGTTGGATCCTGCCCAAAAAAGGGCAATTCGTCTCGTGGGTGATGCCTCGCTCACAAACTCACTCACTTCTCTGGAACACCGTAGAAAAGTTGGCGATCTGGCTCTATTTTATAGACATTTTCATGGACGATGCACTTCTGAAATATCATTGTTCCTCCCTTGGCAGTCTCCGCGAGGTTAATCCGTCGAGTAAAGGCGTCACACCCCTTCGTGGTCACTTTGGAGACCTGCAGAACATCCCTTTCCAAAGATTCGTTCATCCAACGAACAGCGAGGCTCTGGAACACATTGCCAAGGGAGGTGTTCCCCGAGGCATATAACATCCAGACATTTAAGAAGAACACCAATTCCTACCTTATTTCCCTTGGTTCTCACGATGTTCTCTGAACATTACAGGATATTCCTTTTCGTGGGAACCAGAACATGAAAGAAAAACATTGCAGAATGGCGCAGGATCAGAGAGAGAGCTACAGTTCGGGACTGATACGTCACGGTTCCATCTTCCACCTTCATCATTGATTTCAAAATGCTATATAATAGATTCGATTCCCGTCAACTTTAACATATAATATTGATTGTACAGGGTGAGCAAAACTCGATGTCTTAGCTCTATTGAAAGAGAAGGAGTGACGATAGAAAAATCTGAAAAGAGATTTGCCCCAAAATGTCATTGTGTTCAAAGAATTTTCCTATCAGAGAGCCTAAAAGAAAAATTCACTAGCTTGTCAGTGACAATTTGTATTGAAGAAGGTATGGAGAAGAAAAATAAAGGTAGGTATATAGGAACAATATTAACTTTTCACTTATCTTTGGACATTTCGGGAACAAATCTGCTCTCGTTTTCAAGATAAAAAATGGATTTTTGTATTGCAAATTCGTATTTTTCTTACCCTGTATATCCGAATCTTGTCTGAATGTTTCATAAATGGAAACAAATACCTTACTGTTACTCACCTGGTGCTGACATAAAAACATGGCGTGATGTCGACGCCATTGTTATAAATGATGTAGGCCGTCAGGAATCCTGCCATTCCAGCCAGCAGGATGATTGTCTTCAGCAGGGAAATCAGGATTTGATATACTGCGCACGCTATCAAAGCCACCATGACCAGAAGCAAGAGATACTGAAAAAAATAAATCGACCTCACGTACAGGGAATTTTTGCTACAGGGTCACCCATTTGAAAGCGAGCCACCCTCATAAATCTTTTATTTATGTAATGGATTCGACTAACTTTTTTTTAAATGTGGAGGGGGAATAGGTGTATTCTGGAGGTGAGCGGTATTCACTTTTTCTTAAATCCAAGGCCTACTAGATCACATTCAGAGGCTGAAGAATCCAGAATCCTTAATAGCGATTTTTTTATAAATAATCTGCGTACGCCATTGGAATCGAAGTACTCTGAAATAGATCTGCACGAAGTTTCATGAAATTTCTTTTATTTTTTAATTAAAACTATGTATCTATTTATTTATTGAAAATGTGACTTCCAATTAGAAGTTCTGGTATAAGGAAGTAAAGTTAACAATAATACCTAAAACTATACAATTATAATAAACTCATAAATAATATAATATTTGATAACAATCAAATCATTTCATATTGGTGAGCAACAATCAATTTGAAAATGACTGACCTGAAGTTATTTATTATTAGGAAGCTATTCTGTCTTATGTGTCATTTCGTAGCATCATTATAAAATATTGTTTATTAAAAACCTTTTTTTTTCATAAATAATATGGACAAAAACACTCGTAGGAAAAACTTTGTACCTAACTTTTGCGGAAAAGTAATTTTAGGTAAATAATTATTTCTTCCTCCAAATTAAAAGAAAGTCATAATCGGTCCTTGAATGAAACATCTATGAGGGTGGTCTGCTTTCTAATGGGTCACTCCGTATACAGGGTGTTTCGAAATTCGACTGACAACGCTTGACAGGTGACAGGCAGTAACCTCTTAGAATGATTAAATATTTTGCTATCAAATTCGGTATGTGGTTTCTTCTCCGAATGGGCCATCTTTCGATCAGAAAAAAAGAGTTGTGGTTACTTTTCCTCACATATTTTCTACGCCACTGATGAAATTTCGATTATTTCCAATATCTCGAATTCATTCATTCAAAATTTCAAATTGAATTGAAAAAACACATGATTTCATTACGAAATGGATGAAATTGATACTTTGCCATCTACTGATTAGTTCCTTTATGACTTGATCGATTTAGCATTTTTAGATTTTTCTGATTTTTTGTTCTTGTCACCTATGTTATTTTATTATTGTTGTTTTGTATCAACTTCCTCATACCAGAATTTATTTCTGACTGGAAGCTATTTACTCAATAAACAATAAACAATTGTTAAATGTTTTTCGAAAAGAGCATCACTTTCAACTGAGCTAGAATGAATGAGACCTGAAAAGTATCTAATCTATTCACCACCAGAAAACTATTTTTGTAATTCTCTACCACTGAAAGTGATGAAGAAATTTCTATGAAACTTCTATTTTGGGTCAAATATCTTGAAGGTGATGCATTCTTTAAAATGAAATCGCACAATGAATTCGAGAAATTGAAAATAATTGAAGTCTCTTCAGTGGCGTAGAAAATATGGGAGGACAAGTAACCACAAGTCCCCATTGCGCCCCACTGAATAAAATGTCCGGAATGAATATTTGGTCAAAAAATGACCCATTCGAAGATGAAATCAGATACCGAATTCAACTTCAACACCCTGTATCTCGAGAACTGAACACCTAAACACCGTATACCCCTATCTCAGTAATAAAGAAATCACGAGGGCTATATTACTTGCCAAGCGTTGTCGATCGAATTTCGCAACACCCTGTATAATTTTCTTTTGCTATACTCACATCTACTAAATAGTAGTGTCTGCAGCCTTTATTTTCATTGGTGTAGTTGAAAATATGAGTTGTGCAGTTGAGACCATCGAAAGTCGAGTTGAGACACTGTATTTCATACGGGAGAGACAACTGCAAGAAGATATACAACATGGGCCAACCAAGCAGATATTCGGGTAACAGAGTTGAGGAGCATTTTGGGAATCTCGAATACTTACTGCTTGTAGAATGACGAGTAGATATATACATACGGCCATCACGAAGGAAAATACTTGAGCTACGTTTCTATTACTGTGGATGATTTTGGAGAAATTGAATAGCTTCCATGGCAAGCCTCTCTGTGGACAGATACTATGGTAAATATAAAACCTGGTTTGTTTGATGATTAGAGCTTACCCCTTTTTTGATGTTGTCCAGGTAGACCAAAAAAGGGATGAAAATAATGAGAATGACGATGGGAATCGAATACAGTATTGCCGTATCATTACTGCGAAAAAAAAATAGATTGGCTTGTGAACATGGAAATGATATGTCGATTTACTCACCGTTTGAAAACTGATAATTGAACTAGGAGGATTGTTATGAAACAGAATGTTGAGCAGAAGAAATACATGGTGAGCATTCGATCTTTTTCCAAAATGAACTGAAAGAAAAAACAAATTTCAATCTAGCATCCAGCGTATTAGAGAGAGCTCGAAAATGATCTCAATAGAACATTTTAGATTCTCTTTGCACCAGAACATTTTAATGGTATTGGTATTGATGTTTTCTACCTTTGATTCTTTAATAGGATCCCGAAAATTAAGAAGGAAAGTTCGACAGTGTTCTGTTCTCAATCTGTCAATACTTCTGGCATCTATAGCCTTCATCAGGTACTCGTTTACTTCATCTTCAGGGTTTTTTTCTCTCTCCACTGGCTCACCAAAACCAATTCTATATAAAATTGAAAAAAAAAGATAATCAATTATAGCTCATCATTTCAACGATTTTAGTTAAGTTTTTCCTGATATTATTTTTTGTTCCAACAGAAATATGAAATCAAAACCAAGAAGCTGAGCTAACTTTTCAACATCCCCTAGATTGAAAACTAGTTCCTCCTTGAAAAAAACACGTTTATGGGTAATAGTTATTCCCAAGTTTTCTATCGACTATGCAAGTTAAACCTAAGACAGCCTGTATAAAATGATATATGAACACTTTGGAATCATTCAGTTCTACGTTTTGCTTACTTTGAGCAATGAGGCTGAGAACTATGCCCCATTATCCTCATCTCCTTTGCGATGTTGCCGTTCATCGGGTGATTTTGGTAGGGCACAGAAGAATCCTAAAATATTGAATGACAATTATATGAAGAATTGTATTCTTACAGTATACAGTAGAACCAATGAAGGTAGCTTTCAAGATTAAAAATTGCGATTTGACTCACTCCACGGTAAGAGGGCGCCACTATCAAATACGTATCGATGTTGTGATCTTTCAAATAAGTGTTTCTCTCCCCACCATGACCTGGTTCGACAACGTAATCATTCCCAAGACATTTCAAGGTTTCTTCTGTTATGTGTACTCGTCTAAAAAAAATAAAAAAAAATACTGAAATATCAAATCTCTAGGTCTTTATACAGGGTGAATCTAAATAACGGCGAAAAAATTCAAGGCGTGATTCCTTGTGATATTTTAGGCAGTGTTATTCAGATACACCCTGTATAAGAGAAGAACAAGAGCTTCATCTCATAAAAATGATGGACGGAAAGTATAACCGAAAATTTGCGAAGGTTTATATTGTATCGACTGAGAAGTTGCTCACCCTGCAAACTTTAGTAGAATAAGTCGAAAGATCATCCCATGTGAGATCAACAATTGATTGATGTGATTTCATAAGATGAAAGATAAAAACTATGGTCGGAAAAACATCGAAGTTGAAAAATAAATCTGATACAACTTCCACTTTCCGAATTGAGCACCAAACATCGATATTTCACTTTTTGTAAACTGCGTGAGTACGTGGAACAGAAAACATGAATGTACATCATAAACAAAACGAATAATATGACCATATTAGTTGAACAATTATCATGTGTTTATATAATCAAACGATTAAAAACACCGTGCGTGCGTGCGTGGACTGTATACAATAATCAGTTAATATCAACCGACTTTTTGACTCACCCTGGTATACCCCCGCTCTCCATATAGTTGGCCAGCGTGACGTCGTTGGACCAAACGTCAAACTGCCATTTTCTCAAGCCCAACACGCCGCAGTGTACTCGCCCTGTATGTATTCCAACCCGCATGTTCACGTTTACATTCATCACTTCTCTCACCAGGCTGAAAAATAAAATTACGGGATTTACTGACGATGAGCGAAGTTTGGCAACAACTTGCCCAACTAGCAATTTTTCTTCTGTAAAGGTATAGCAACCTTATATAGCTACTATACAGCAAATATTATGAAACCGATTAATGATGGGTTCTACTGCTAGTGGAGGAGAAACAATATTTTGATATCAAAAGACTTCCATAAGAAAACTATACAGTCCTATGATGGTCCTATGAATATGTTATATGACTACATTTATACAATCAACTGAAATACCTTCGGAAATACCTATTATAAAACCAAATGTAGATAGTGGTCGCCTATTAGTTGTATACAAGTTCTCACATTTGAAAAAAGAGAGCATTGCACAAAAGTAGTAAGGATTTTTTCTGACAAAATATGTTGACTTGAATTTCAGATTCAGTCTATGGAGGAATCATATTGGCTGTTCTATGTTTCCAAGTGAATTATACAAAATGGCGTCGATTGATCAACAGCTACTTCGTTGAGTAAACACGACGTGATATAATACAATGCTTCTGTTCTATTCAGAACATTATACAGCAATACAGTTCTATAATGCTGGTTCTTATCGGCACTATAAGATTCTCATTTTATGTTACGTCTCCACTGTAGCTTATAGAATGGTTCCAAAAATGATTGAGGAAGAACATAAATAGAACTAGCTATTTATGCCTATGAATGATTTTACAAGTAGTTATTATGAAATGTAGGTACCTATACAACAAATATTGGGTTATTTACATACCTACATAACTTGAAGACCCTATCTCAGTAATTATATGAAATCACGAGGCTTTCACCTATTGGTCGAATTTCGAAACACCCTGTATACACGAAATATTATAGAAATGTCTTTTCATAAACCCTCTTTGAATTGGAGCAGTTCGGTCCTGATACGCCGTTTATTCTGTTAGATTTCATCGTTATTATCTAACCGAGAGCGAACTCGAGCGATTTTGCACCCAAGGGAAATAAAATGAAACAATATCACGTTATAGCTGGGTATATAAACCGATATATACCTGGCGAAACGCGCTTTCTTGTGCCACAGGGAATACTCCTTTTAGGATTGATCCTGAAAAATTCAAGCACAATTAATGCTTGATTTTTCCTGAATTTCTTATGTTGGGTTTTATATTACGACGTGGTGCTTTCAAACCAATTTCTTTCTCTTCCGTTCTTGAGACTGACCCTGTGAAAAACGAGTGAACTCGTCCTTGTATGTCATCATTTTCATTCTTCAAGAGAATTTTGAGAACTCATTACATATTACATTACTTCACTGTCTCATCAACTTATACCTACTTACGGATCTGTAATTCTGCTTGATTGAATCCAAATAAATGCTACAATATCTATAATAATCCTGGAACATACATAATATAGAAATACAATGGAGATTGAGAGAATGCGAAATACTTATGGTGTTTGTTTCGCTGATATAAATTCCGCCTCATCCATTGAAGAGCCAATCAATCATCAAGAACAAGGTCTCAGACGGGAATCTCGATGGTATTTGAAGTGAAAAACATAATATAGCAATTTCATCGCAGTCGAATAAACCAAAATAAATCTCTAATGAATATACCTACAGCATTATTATAAGAACCATTACGCGACGCCACTGGTCAATTCACAATTATTGACACTTGACACTGCTGAAAACAAAAGAGTATCGCGCCTTTTTCGTTTACATAGATTTGTGGTGAGTTGTTCTATACTGAAATATGTTCTGAAATTACGTATAAAAAACTGTAAAAACTGTTGTGACGTGTGTGGAAATTGATTCGAATAGAAAACAAAGGCATCAGGAACGTTTTTTTGCAAAAAAGGTTGGTGATTTTGCATGATATTTGATATTTTGATATCCCTTAGTTTCTACCTCCGTTACAGGTAGGTAGGTATTTAAAGTTGAAACAAACTCTGCAACACAAGCAATACCTACCTCCTCTCCCTATACTCCCTATATAGGAATTTCCTTTCGTGTGCTCCAAAAGATAACAAAAAAAAAAAAACAATTGTATTTGGTTCTGGCACGTTTTGGGTTGTTTTGTTTGTGAACGAAAATTACGATATTTTTCCACCTCAAATTTTATTGAAACATGGTATAAAATGTGCTTCCTAACTTCTCACCGTATACCATCGATTGTATAACATCAGGAAAAAGTTTGTTTCTGATGCTTCCTAGAAATGGCAATGAACATATTGTCTTGAGATTATAGATCTGAGGCATTGATGTCTTCCAAAAATTCAATAATTATTCTCAAACGTTGGTTGAGAATCATGGATATTAAATTAGTCTACAGGGTGTTAACAAATAAGTGTCACAACGGAAAACACTTATTTGTTACACCCTGATGTAAATCAATTTTTGATTCATGGAAGTAAAAGCAGAATGATGGTTATGGTAAAATTGTTACATACCAGAGATAAATACGAGGACAAATATAATATGATCAGATTTTCAGGTTGAAAATATCAAATTCTGTTTCCGTTTTCTTTGGCCCACTCATTCTATCCCTTCCGGGATGGCACAACAAAACGCACCTATTGATATCAACAGTTGAGATTTGAGTATCAACTTACGCTATCGCATCGATCATATCAAGGCCCATTTCGACTGTGCAATGGGCATGGTCAGGTCTGGCTTCCGGCAAACCAGACACGCAGTAATAGCAATCCCCTAACAATTTGATCCGGAGACAGTGATGTTCTGCTGCTAAGCGGTCGAATCTGTAACATAACTCACCTCTGAGAGATAAACTCTGTGCAACACTTGTAACGATTGATTTTTGAGGACCACCCTGTATAAATGAATATGTTTATTATGCATATTCTCATATAAAGATATTCATATATCAATAATGAGTACGAATAATACATAAACATTCATTGATAAAACAATGTTTGTATTGGTATAGATACGTAGATGACGTTATAGTACCTATATGCTTTGAAGGAACCAATAGACAATTGGACAGTTTTCACCAATATATTAATACTATTCATCCAAACATACAATTCACAATGGAAATAGAAACAGAAAAGTCAATCAATTTCTTTGATTTGACAATAAGTAAAATTAATGATGAACATGATTTTTCAATTTTCCATAAACCTTCCCACACTGATATCACTATTCATAAAAATTCAACACACCCTTATCAACATAAAATTGCAGCATATCATAATAGTATGATGCAGAGGCTAGTGAATGTCCCTCTTTCGGAAGTAAATTTCAATAAAGAACTCAATATCATGAAACAGATTGCAGTCAACAATGGATACAACGTTAATTTGATAGACAGTATTCTTTCTAAAAAACTTCATAATAAAGCTATTCAAGAAGTTTATCCTACCATCAAGAATAATAATCAAAATTATAGAACTTTAACCTATATCAACTGAAAATTAGCTTCATTTCTTCATAAACAGGACTTGAAAGTAGCATATAGAACAAATAAGGTGTCCTAAGGTATATATCGGCCAGACAGGTCGTACGTTTAATCAGCGCATTCATGAACATAAAATGATTTTTTTTAAAAGAAAACAAATTCAACATACGCCAACCATATATTAGAAGAAAACCATTAGTTTTGATGATAATTTCGAAATTCTACACGTAGAAAACAAATGAATGAAACTCAATCATTTTGAATCAATAGAAATTAACAAACTGAAAAATTCTGACATTTTACTTAACGACCAATTAGACCCCAATAGTCCACCACTGTCGAATTTGTTAGTAGGTATTATTATTATTATTAGGTATACAAGGTGGTCAAAAAATCTAAATTTATAATTTGTTTCAATCAAATGTTAATTGAACACCAATTGATAGTGAGTGAAAAGTTGAGATAGGGACATGTAAACCGTTTTGATGAATAATGAACAGTTTCGACAGAAAAAAATACTGAACTTGAAAAATCTCGATTTTGCACACCCTATATGTCAGTAACTTTCACTGCTAGACCCTAAATATGATACGTCGTTGAAATCCGATCTTCAGGGAGAATTCAAAAATGAAATAAAATATAGGGTGTTCCAATGAAAAAAACATAGCTTTGATGTGCAGTGACCTTACGGAACACCCTGTGTATTTCAAAGACATTTTGAAATGTGAAGCCCGGTTGTCACTTCAATTTGAATGCAAAACTTTTTTTGTATCTCTCAAGACAACAGAGGTATCGAACTCTGGATTCTCAGTTGGCCACCCTGTACATCATATTATTTATTATGAATTGTTGGAATAATATTTGATGGAAACTGCGATTTCTATCAAAAGCACAAATGAGAACTACCCTAAAGAATTTAAAAAACTTCTTCTGACAGTTGTGACAACTATTCAAAGCTGAACAGCAGTCAATTAAGTATGAATTGGCATAAACGAAAAATTTATGGAATCTAAAATGATACAGAAATAAAATCTTTTTCGGAAAGTGTACTTTTTTGAAATACTTTGAGGAACTAGGAAAGGCGTCTACTTTTTGGTCACAATATTCAATGTGGCATAGTGCCACATTATAAAATGAATACCAATAAGCTACATTACTCGGATACTTTGAATAAGTGCAGTTGTAGAAAAAGTATAGTGTGCAACATGTGGGGAAAAGCATTTTCCTCACTCGTGTGTTTGCATCACTCGCCCTTCAGGCTCGTGCCACAAACTTCCACACACAAAGTTGAACTTTTCCCACTTGTTGCACAATATGTACAGGGTGTAAATTTGAAAACTTTCAATGCGAATATGTCGCGAAATAAAAAAGTTAGAAAAACGATGCTTGGCAAAAATGCTAAAGAGTTAAGGGGAACTAGAACCACCATATTTCAGTGAAGGGATGAGTCACCCTGTCAGCGCAACACACCCCAACTTTGAAATGTCACATGGCACTACCTTTTTTGTGATACCTCAAATGAACGGTCTCAGTCAGTAGTATTCACCTGTACAAGACTTTTTTTTCCACTCACTACAGGGTGTACGAAAAACATTAATTCAAGGGTCTAAATTTGAAAACTTTCAATGCGAATATCTCGCATAATAAAACAGTTAGGAAAACGCCGTTTGGCACAAATGCTACAGAGTCAGGGGAAACTAGAACCACCATACTTCAGTAAAGGAATGAGTCACCCCGTCGGCGCGACACACTCCATCTTTGAAATGTCAAATGACACTACCTCTTTTGTGATACCTCAAATGAACGGTCTCAGTCAGTAGTATTCACCTGTACAAGACTTATTTTCCACCCACTACAGGGTGAACGGAAAACATAAAGTCGAATAAAATAAAATGCAGAATGCCGATATATTCCAAGAGATGTGTTCCAAAATGTTAGAATGGCATCTGAACATCGATTATACTATTGCTTACAACAGAATGGAATGCATTTTGAACAACTGATCAAATAAAATATCCTTTTAACACAATTCATTTCATTTTATTCGACTTTATATTTTTCGTACACCCTGTAGTGGGTGGAAAAAAAGTCTTGTACAGGTCAATACTACTGACTGAGACTGTTCATTTGAGGCATCACAAAAAAGGTAGTGCCATTTGACATTTCAAAGTTGGGGTGTGTCGCGCCGACGGGGTGACTCATCCCTTGACCGAAATATGGTGGTTCTAGTTCCCCTTAACTCTTTAGCATTTTTGCCAAACGGCGTTTTTCTAACTTTTTTCTTTCGCGAGATATTCGCATTGGAAGTTTTCAAATTCACACCCTGTATACTATTTACCAAACGAGTAATATGTTTTTCTTATCAGATGACGATCGAAATATGCAGTCGGCTATTGGACTGATACGAGAAGAAACAAAAGGGATCCAGAATATCCCTAAAATAATACTAACCTTGCGAAGAGTTCATTCAATATCCTGACGAGTTCCTCGGCTGTGCATTGAGCAGAGAGCGTCGTGAACCCGCATATGTCGGCGAAAAGAATGCTGAAAAGGAAAGGAACTTTTGTTCACGGTTCAAATAAGGCGAGTTTGATCTTGAATAAGAAATTCAGTAATTCATAGGGAAGAAACATTGCTTCTAAGGTTTTCAAATATTTGAATCGCATAGTGATGAATGCTCTGGAAACCCTTGTGTCATGAGCTCGGCAGAATTCGAAATTTTTCACTAAAGAACTTATAATTCGTGGAAAAATATTGAAGCATAATGATCATGCACAGTTATAATAAATTTATTTTTCTGCTCATATAACTAAAGATGCATTCAGCGTACGAAAAAAAAAGGAATTGTTGAATCGAGCAAGATTTAATTGAATTTTTTTTTATGTTCTGGTTCCCACGAAATGCGATATCCTGTAATCAGAGAACATCGTGAGAACCAAGAGAAATGAGGTAGGAATTGGTGTTCTTGAATTTCTGGAGGTTATATGCCTCGGGGAACACCTTACTTGGCAATGTGTTCCAGACCCTCGCTTGATGTATAATGTACTATGATTTACGAAAAGGAATGCAAACAGGACTACCTCATTATTATTATATATCACATATTCAAATGTCCTCAAAAACTTAACACTAGTGGGGAAAAGTGGACGCTAGTAGAAAAAATAATTATCTAATATTCAGCTATATTTATTTTGAATCGATTTCTTTTGAGGCTGTAGGTCGGATAAAGCTCCTATAGCTGTTTGTAGCTTGATGTTGAAAAATGACGAATAAAACATGAAAATCATAATTGAACATCGAACAGCATGGAAAATTAAAAAAATCAACAGCAGCTGCAGATGGAAAATTATCGTGCGAGATTAATGGAATGTCAAACAGTTGAACGAAATTTCTATATCCGAGAAAATTACGTTTTCCGTGTTTTAATATTTTCATGACATAGACGAGAGCAAACACGTTAATTCATTAGATTGACACATGTACAGAGTGGGCCAAATTGGTCAGTTTTAAATGGAAAGCCTTATTCTCCAACTAGATAGAAGAAAACTGATGTCGGTGTCTGGGGGTCGATTATTATGCAAAACTCAATGGTGAAAACCGCATATCCATTTTTTGTATCGCTTGGAGCGCACGAAAGGAAATCCCTATAATGTTCAAAGAACATCGTGCGTTCCTAGGAAGGATAGGGACAGGTAGGTATCGGAATTTTTTTTGAACTTCTGGAGATTATATGTTGTTGGGAATACTTCCTCAGGCAATGAATTCCAGAGCCTAGCCGTTCTATGGATGAAGGAGTTTTGATAAAGTGCTGTTCGACATCTTTCGAGGTTGACAACGATAGGATGTGCTGACTGGGCTCGTCTAGTTCGTCTGACTGGTATTTCTAGTGAAGGGATGATAGCAGAGATTTCCGAAGAACATTTTCCGTGGAAGTATCGATAGAAAAGTGAAAGGTCGCCGACCTTTCTACGGTGTTCCAATGATGTCAAAGAGTGAGTGAGTGTGGCGTCACCCACCAGGCGAATGGCTCTTCCTCTGGATGGAATCTAAGAGCATCAGCGTATGTTTGAGTGCTGAACCCCATATGTGGGAACAGTATTCTAGAACAGGCCGTATCTGCGCTTTGTAGATCATGAGAGCAGTTGAAGCAGCTTTTGCGATGGATCTGACATGATTATCCAATGAAAGAGTGTTGCTGATGGAAATACCGAGCATAGATATGGTGGGCTTGGTGGGGATGGTGGTGCCAGACATTACAATATCGGGCATACTGAGTTCCGCCTTTCTAGAGAAAATACAGGCTTGAATTTTGGTGGCGTTGAATTCAACTAGGTTGTTGGTTCCCCAGGCTGTGATTTCAGCAAGGTCTTCATTGACAGCATTGACCTGGGAAGAAATGGGAATTCTGGAAGAGAACGCAGTATGAAGGGTATTCTTGAAGGGAAAGTTCTATTTTGGAACTAGGTATATGGTGGCTGATTTCAGTTCCTGAGGATGAATTTTCATGACAAACACAATGCTTTGAAAATGTTTTTATGGAAACGAAGAATTCTTAACAAAAAATGAGCTTTCGAAAATTAATATTTTCGAAAAATACCTTGTAACTCTGAAACGAAGATAGATATCGGTATGCAGTTTTCACCATTGAGTCTCTCTCCGAACATTATAGGAATTTCCTTTCGTGCGCTCCAAAAGATACAAACAAATGTGTCCAAATCGATTTTCATGTTTCAGGCATCCACATTTCTTCACTCAGATAATTTTGTTTCATTCTAGATGACCTCTAGTACATCCTTTTAAGTTCCTAGGAGATAAAGTTCAACTTTAGCTAACTTAAGCTCCTAGGAACTGAAGTTCAACTTTCACTCCTAGGAACTAAATGTAGGTATTGCCTAGCAACATACCTATTTTTGTGTCAGTAATAAAAACGTCAATTTAAGAGCTGATTTTGGTATCAAAATGAACGACTTTTCGGTTGCAGAAAATAATAATTTTCAGGGTGCATTAATATAAAGCCTGGCTGTACCTCTAGGAAGTCCGCACAAAAAGTAAAGCCGATTAACAGCCCTCTCTCGCCGAATCAAAACCATTATGAAATTTTCATCTGTCAATTTTCATTCTGTTGATATATCCACCGGTAATAATGAAACTGCTCTTTTTGCTTTTCACCGCTTTTATTTCTCTCCTCGATTTTATGACGGTCACAATGGCCGTACAAAATGACATGAAAGAATGCGAGGCTAACGAATACCCATGGAAATATTTCGTTCTTTCACATTGCGGTCACAGCATTTGACGCTGTTTCTGTTTTTATTTTAGGATATTTTTTTATATTTGCGAAATCGCCGATTTTTTTCGTGTCCCTTTTCCTCCACAGTCGTGTATATCGTTCAGTGTTTAGTACCTACAACAAGAGAGGATCTTGTTTTTCGACTAGTTCACGGGAAATTCGAATTTTGTTTCGACTTAATTTAATTTCGTGCTCACCGCTTTCACCAAATTTTAAAATTATTTGGATTCTCTCGTTTTCACCCCTTTCAACATTTCAACAAATTCTATTGACCAAAAATATCACAAGAATAATACAATGTCTGATCGTTATATACACTAATAAGTCTGGAAATAGGTATAGGATTAAAAACAAGATTGGAAATGACCTATCGTTCAGTGTCGCATTCACCAAATTTTGAAATAATTTGAATTTTTTCACTTTTATCCATTTCAATAAACTCCATTGGCTGAACATATCACATACAATCGTGATTTCAAATTCAATACAGTGTCTCATCGTTATATTCACTAATAAGTCTGTGGAAATATATTGAAAACGAGATTGAGGATGATCGATCGTTCAGTGTCGCATTCACCAAATTTTGAAATAATTTGAATTCTCTCACTTTTATCCATTTCAATAAACTCCATTGGCTGAACATATCACATACAATCGTGATTTCAAATTTGATACAGTGTCTCATCGTTATATTAATTAATAAGGTTGTGGAAATATATTGAAAACGTGATTGAGAATGATCGATCGTTCAGTGTCGCATTCACCAAATTTACAAATTATTTGAAATTACTCATTTTTACCCATTCCACCAAGATCGATTGACTGGAAATATCATATTCATACGCAGTTCCAAATATCCACCGATGAGTTTTGGATTAGAGGATTTGAACCTCTTATTCATTCGCGCATTCACCAAATTTTTAATTTTCTTGAAAATTCATTTTTTCACCCATTCAAACGAATTATATTGACTGAAAATATCACATACAATCGTATTCCCGAAAATAATACAATGAATGATCACTATATGCACTAATATGTTTGAAAACATATTAAAAACATTCAGTGGCGCATTCACCACATTTTGCTATGTGACTGAAACGGTGCAAAAATTTCAAAATGTTACATATTGTGGTTATCCAGCAATGGATGTCCTGAAGTTTGTTCTCGTTTTTCCGTTTCTTCTTGATAACGAGCGTCCTATCGGGTATCAACAAGAGGATCCTTTTTGTACAAAATTGAATGACTTTTCATAGCATTTTATTAAAGGAAATATCCCTTCGTTGCTCACTTTCAAGTATAATATAATCAATCATATCCCCCTAACGGTGCCACTGGTAGAGAAAAGGAAAATGTGTGTACATCAAAGAATGCACCTTGATGCATAAAAGATATGTACCAAATTTCATGAGGATGTCTACAATATTGTCCCAGTTTTTATTGAAAAACGGTTTTTTTTCAAAACTTCATCACCCTGTATCTCAAAAGTTAAGAGTTTTAGAACATTTTTTCTTGAAATTAGTAGAAAAATCACCCCCTTGAATATTAGCATGTCTTTAAGGAATACCCTGTATATCCGTACGCTATAATAGTTATTTATTATACAGGGGGGTAAAGTAGTAGATTTTAGCTCCAGGTTGTGTTGTCTCCCGACGCGTAGCAACAAATATCGACAAATAATCCATGTGGTAAGAATATTCTACCTGCATTAACAGCAGGGTAGGTTTTCAAGGATGTTCGAATTGTAGTTTTAATATAAATACAACCACAGAGTGACATATTTGTGTATGGACCAGGTGTTCTAATGGCAAATACCGCGCCAGTGCCAGCTATCGGAACAAGACGTGGAAAATGTTAGGTTAGTGAGCATATCAACAATGAAGCTAAACAATATCGTTGTTTGAGACAAAAAAACTATTGCTTGCCGTGATTATTCAAAAACAAGTTAGTCATCCCGAGAATATATAACGAATGAAATACAGATCAAGCAAGTATTTGAATCTTTAAGGCTTCCCTGATCAAACAAAAATACTTGGCTGAGATATTTATAATTCCAATACTAAACTATAATAAGGTTTATTTATATCTCCAGCATGGGTATGAAATGCCAAATCTGCTGAAATCGAAAACAAATCAGGTATGCGTCTCAACCCAAATAACCAACCGTCACAATGTTGTTTATTCTTGATGACGTCCAGTACATCGTTTTTAGTTTTTAGGAGCTAAAGTTCGACTTCAGCTCCTAGGAACTAAAATTCAACTTTAGTTCCTAGGAACTAAATATGTTGCCTAGCAACATACCTATTTTCGTGTCGGTAATAGAAACGTCAATTTAAGAGCTGATTTTGGTATCAAAATGGACGACTTTTGTGTCGGTTGCAGAAAAAATACGTTATGATTCTATAAGGTATCACATTCACAAAATTTTTGAATACTTGAATTTACACAGGTCCTTTTGAACACTATTTTGGAAAGCTAATTCTTGGATGAAACTTTCTCTTGCATCAACAGTAATCCTGAGCTGTTTGAATTGTGGCTCGTTCTTATCGAGAAACTGCAGAGAACATTTGGCGATAATTGTCCGTAATCTTCTTACCTTACGTTTTCGTGCTTTTGTATGTAGATTTTGTGGAATTGTTCTTGCTTGGGCTGTCCAGCTATGTCGGCTTTCATTTCCATTGCGACGTGTCGAGGTAGAACGGATAAGAGGAGTCTTTCCTTCAACAATAAGAAATAACTACAGTGTTCTGGCTTCAACTACAGTGTCATTCATAAAGTCGGCATCATATGGGAAAAACTTTTATTAATGACTTATTTTGGAATTCGAGTTGGACGTTAAGTTAAGAAAATGGCTACTCAATCGGGGTCACGTAACTTTCGCTACATGTCAAAAGTGACATTTTTTCAAATTAATCGCTGAAAGTAGGCTTATTTGTTCGAAAAAGTTTACTAGAAAAAGTTGTTTCTATTCCAATTTTACACATGCTTCTCGAATTTGATCTTTCTATTGCAACTTTTAGATTTTGTTTCTTTTTTTTTAATTTTTCAAAATTTCTGTTATATTTGAAGAATTGTTAATTCCACGAAACAACTTCATACCAGTAGCTTTTTCATGCTACCTACTTTCAATTACTTATTATCACTGATTATGGACAGAAATATGATTTTCTTCAGAAAATGATAATACCCGCTTCCAAATTCTGTTATGTTTGATGCAAAGTTGATATATCGTCAAGCATTTAGAAACGAAATTCATTTAAACTGATCTTTTCAGTACTGAAAAAATAAATTTAAATGAATTTCGTTTCTAAATGCTTGACTCAAACATAACAGAATTTTGATGTTATGTTTGCATCAAACATAAGAGAATTTTGAAGCGGAGATTATCTTTTTCGGAAGAAAACCATATTTTTGTCGATAATTAGTGATAATTAGTAATTGAATGTTGGTAGCATGATGAAACTACTGGTATGAAGTAGTTTTATCGAATTTACAATTTTTTTAATATTACAGAAATTTCGAATTTTTTTAAAAAATATCGAAATCTAAAAAATGTAATAGAGAGATAAAATCCGAGTCACTTATGTAAAATTTGAATAGAAACAACTTTTTCAAATGAACTTTTTCGATATTCGAACAAATAAGCCTACTTTCAGTGATTAATTTGAAAAAATGTAACTTTTGACATGTAGCGAAAGTCACGTGACCCCGATTGAGTAGGCCATTTTTCATCTTCTTTGAAGCAAAACTCAACGTCCAACTCGAATTTCAAAATAAGTCATTAATAAAAGTTTTTCTCATATGATGCCGACTTTATGAATGACACTGTATAATTCTGACATTCTGTTAATTGGAGTACGCAGCCTTCTGGATTTTTATCAAGTTTCATAATTTGGCATCAATTCTTCAGGTTGATAATTTCACAGAAAACTCGTTCGAATAAAAAAAAAAGGAATCGAAAAACCCTCAAAAAATCCAATCCTGTAATCATTTTTCATCATGATTTCCTCACAAAAGATAGGTTGAAATTGAAGGAAAAGGATTACTTTATACATAATTCAAGAATCATCAGTAATATTGGCATCTTATCTCATTTATATATTTTCTTCTTATTTTTATTTTATTTACTATATATTTGTTTTGTTTCCGTACAATTACTATACAGGGTGAGTCATAGCATTGGGAACTGTACATACTCCTACCACGAACAGAGGTCCCTGAGGGAAATACCGAATGTCCATCAGAAAATCTCTTCTTTAATTCTTTTCCAATATACAGTGTGACCCACTTCTAATGGAACCACCCCTGTATCTTACGTATTCGTTGGGTAAGGATCCTGAAATTTGCTGGAGCGAGAGATATACCAAAAATGCACTCTATAACCAAGTGGGGTCATCTTCAGTGATATACACTGCTCGCCAACAGCCATGAAACTACCCCAATTTCCGGAAAATGATATTAGGAGTCAAAATAGGTCGAAAATCACTTCAGATTTGGAATCAGGACGCCCAATTTACTAACTATTCAAATTTTTCCTGAAAAATTCTCAGTTCGGAACAATGAAATTTTGGCGCATTTTTTATGGAAGCACCCCCGTATCTCACGTAATTGACTTTATCTTTGGACTTTCTCTTCCTCCGGCAAATTTCAGAACCCTACCTCAATAATTACGTGAGATACGGGGGTGCTTCCATAAAAAATGCGACAAAATTTCATTTTTCCGAACTGAAAATTTTCCAGGAAAAATTTGAATAGATAGTAAATTGGGCGTCCTGATTCCAAATCTGAAGTGAATTTCAACCTATTTTGACTCCTAATATCATTTTCCGGAAATTGGGGTGGTTTCATGGCTGTTGGCGAGCAGTGTATATCACTGAAGATGACCCCACTTGGTCGGTCATAGAGTGAATTTTTGGTATATCTCTCGCTCCAGCAAATTTCAGGATCCTTACCCAACGATTACGTAAGATACAGGGGTGGTTCCAATAGAAGTGAGTCACACTGTATATAGAGTGAATTATGAGATTTTGCAAAAATATCTTTTGGTCATAGCTTTCCAACAGCTTATTAGAGAGATTCGGGAAAATCCAGGACTGTCCTTGGGAAATTTTGATAGTTCAGTTTAAAGCAAAAAGTTTATCCTATATATCGTTCTTGTAAATTGTAACAGGCAATTTTCGAAGGTATTAAAGTGAGACTTACATTTCCAATGCTTCAGCTTAATGGAAATCAATATATCATTTTATTCTCAGGCCTGGATTTAGTAATTCAATTATTTTGTGGAGGATAACATAATTTTATGATTTCAATTCACAGTTTCAGCTATTAGATTTGTTTTATTCAGTTGATTTGGTCACTTATTTTCCGTACTAGAATCATTATCCGCCTTTGTCAGTATAGTTTTTGAAAAATAATTGTGAATAAACGTTCATTTTCTGTTCGACTATCTTGAATTATTCGAATCGATGACCATTAACATCTAAACAGATACCCCATCCACTGATTCGAAAAAGGACTACTACCTTGGTGTAAAAATTAAATAACTATTACACATTCACCATGTTCCCTGCTATAAACAAATGTTGTTTCTTCGGAATAATAAAGTTGATCGATTGATTAATTGATTGATTGAAAATACAATCGTGGACGATATGGGCCTAGCCGGCCCTGTAGGGTCCACCAACAGGTGACCACTAAACCAATTGAAGTTTCTACACACGAAATATAATCTAATACACACGTCGTCAGACCTCCAGAAGTTGTACCGATGAAAGCCCCTAGGATTCCTCCAGTGTATTTCACCGTCCTGAAGGGATTTGGGTTTAATTTGCTGACTGGGGAATTGATAAAACAATTGAGGCACGAAATGCAGGCAGTCTGAGCCCTGTTGATTATATAAAATCTGTCGAGCTCTTTTTCAAAATGGTCCTTGAACTTTAGCATATTATAATCTTCAATGAAGTGGCTACAAATGATGACTTTTTATTTTTGGTCTACAGGGTGATTGATTGAAACGGTTCATTAGACGTTTCTGGCGAACCAGCCAATGAATCGTTCTGAAAGCTGAGGTGATTGCATAAACGAACCCACTCTATCTTTCTGAGATAATTTCAATAAGGCGTTGTTGCTGCTTCTACCAAAATGTAGTAAGAACTTCAATATTTCAGATGAAACATTATGTATTTCATTACATCTTTATATTCTTTCGAAAGGGTTCGTTTCATCAATGCATCACACTTTGGGTCTACCGGGAATGATTACAGAGATATAGGGTGTTACAAATGAAGATTTTTCAACTTTAGGAATTTTTTGTGTAGAAACTATTCATTATCGATCAAAACAGGGTGGTTCAAGATTCAAAATTCTGATCATCCTGTATTTTTTCCATTTGAATGTCAGTAGATAGTGAATCAAAAGTTGAGAAATATCCCTGTCTCAACTCAAGAGGTTTCGACCGAAATTTCGACCAATAATGAATAGTTTCGACACAAGAAGAATCCTAAAGTTGAAAAATCTCGATTTGAAACACCTCTTTTGTAGAGCTCAAAAGGTGGCAATGAGTTCCTATATCTCTTAAAATAACTTCAGAAAAAAAATGGAACGATCCCTATGGTCTTCAACAATGATTGAGTGCCACGTGACCATTTTTGATGCGGTGTCTCTTTTCAACCCACGTTGAAGAGATACCAATGTATTCTTGGTTGCATAGTAATCTGTCACGTGGTTTTCAATTCTTGTGGACACAGTGTATATCTCTGTAATCATCACCTTCAGGCCCTCAAGTGTGATATATTGATGGCATCAGCTCTTCAGGCAGAATCAAAAAATGCAATGAAATACAAAGTTGCTACGACTTCTTGGTAGAAGCGGCAACACCACATTAATGAAATTATTTTTTAAAACTAGGGCGGGTGAGTTTATACAATCACTCCAACTCCAACTCCGTTTCAATCGATCACCCTGTCCCGTATACTGACGTATTGTGAAATATCTTTCAGGTTGTCACTATGTTATAATATTCCTCAAGAATAACAGCTTTCATCGATCACCCTGTCCCGTATACTGACGTATCGTGAAATATCTTTCAGGTTGTCACTATCTCAGAATATTCCTCAAGAATAACAGCTTTCAGTATTGATTAGTGAAGAATTCTACCACCGAACATAAACATGTTCGGTGATTCTACTATTATTAATCATATTATGATTGTCAAATACTACCTGTTGTTGATTCTCCCTCTGTATCTTGAGACGCGCCTCAATGCACTGCCTGGTCTCCAAGAAGGCCTTCCTTTGCGCTACCTCGCGGGGATAGTGTGTACACACACCTGCCACATTGCCGCAAAGCAAAATCAAAAAGCAACTGCTTACCTAAAAAAAACAATCCTCTGTTCACCTTCAATCCTCATTTGATCGTAATGAAAATATACCTACTAAATGTGGGTCTGGTGAGAATATATTGAAAAAAATGTGGATATAGTGAAAACATGTATTCTGATTATGGGCCTGATGAGAGTCTATTGAATGTGGAACCATTACATAGTTGTTTTTCTACTCTAATCCTAACATTGTTGTTATTTGATTCCTTGACTTCTTCACTTGTTTAACTAATGACTCCATTGCCCCAATTGTCAGTAAGAGTGAGACAGTACTGTTTCGGCCCACCAGGCCTCATCAGCCGCTCTCGGTCTGCTGACAACTAGAACAACTCAACTCTCAACTCAACGCCTCCGGTATATCCCCCATTTCGAAGACACCGGATACTGCATGATGATTTAGTCATGCTATCGCCATCTAGTGGCGTTAGTTCTAAGGATGGGTTTTGCGACCACGGCATACACTCATTCTCTGTATGATGCTGCCATCTCTAGTCAACACGTGTAGGCTCTTACGCCAACACATTGCAACGTGGTGCTATAAGTGAACCACCTGAATAATACTTAAGTGGATACTCACCAGTCCTATTCACAGAACTAGATCACTTAACTAAGATATCTAAGATGAACAAAATCAGATCATCATGCAGTATAGTATATGGTGTAATTATTCCACTTTCATAATTTTGGCTGCTTGGTACTTGATGAGATTCAGGGATATTTTGCATCGAAATTATTTCAGATTTTGTGAAATTTCTGGGATTTTTAATGGAATTTATACGATAATACTTTTTTTTCAATTTGAAACAAGTTCGCAAAACGCTTATTTATGAAAAATAAGAGCACTTACTTCTGAGAATTCTGTCATTCCACCAACGTAGATCAGAAGGATGATTTCTGTGGCTGCCAATATGGCGCCCGACAACAGGGCGTCCTTGAGACGATTTGGCATCAGGGCGTACGTCAAATAGGTCGACGCAAGCGCAAAAGTAGTGCCCATAAGGGCGCGCGATGTATCGAAGAAAAACGATATGCATATCTGGAAGAGCAGAAATTCACAGTAATTCGATTATCTTTTTTTCTTTTTGACGTATGATAAATTGATATTCATCATACAGGACGTGGGAATAAATTCTGAATGGAGATAACCTAATCACGAATCTGCGATTGAGGTCTATAACAAGTTTCCACCCCTTGATTAAGTGAAAGTATTGAAAAGGAATATTCTCAGATATAATTATGAACATAAAAATATGGGTATATATTGAAAAAATATATTGAAAGTTCGCTCTGAAAATTTTGCTCTGAAAATGTTTGAAACTTGAAAATTTACCGTAAAAGGGGTTTGAACTCATGAATCATTGTTAGTGAAATAATAAATGGCTGAAAAAAATCAATTTTCTGAAAAGTTTCTATAGGCAGCCAGATATCAAAAACAAGAAGCATTCCCAGTGATAACTTTGTTGACAAACAAATTATTTCCCTTCTCATGCCGGTATTCTATTTAGGCGTTTTTTAAATGGTGTTTCACCCCCTCGTGAGGTGGGATATATCTCTGTCTATTGCAGAGATCATTCACCAAAAATATATTTATTTTGTGTCAAAAGATTCAGAATTCCGTAAGGCTTATTAAAAATTTCACTTCCAAATCATCAAATTGAAGTACTGTATATATTTAATTATTGATATATATTCCAATCATATTTTTGGTTGAATATGACAAGTAGAATGAGAAGATTGACAATAATCGCCTTGTATATGGAGCCGACAAATTCCTATAATCTGGGAGAAAGATGTCTGCAAACCTGTAAGTGTTCTAAACTTGGAAGAAAGGGTCTTTATATAGGGTAGTATATGGTTAACTCCGGCAACATACTTCGCTGTCAGTTTCAGCTTCAGCTTCGCAAAGTTATGTTGATCGCCCAATTTCAGCCAGGTATCTATTATTAGATCCTGAAACTGAATACGACGTTAATATCCATCGGGTTTCACAGGTAGTTTAACAACTGATAATATATATAGGTACATTTGAATATCGATTCTGAAATATCACTGAACTATCAACATCTCTATATCTCCTGTTTATTTATTGAATCACAATTATTATCGCTTTCTATCCACCTTGTTACTAGTCCAATTTATATCTAACCATATAGCTCCTGAACTTATCCAATTTTGAAAAAATTTGTTTATCAACCGCTTTTGTTCAATCCCTGAATCAACCTATAAAATGAAAAATGATCAGCTGGGATAGATGAAGGGAATTTTATCGGACATAGCTCTATTGTCTTTGATCCAACTCAATTTAGATTCCAGCTTTTAGTTCTCACTCAATCACTGCAAATCAACCTCTAGAATGAAGAATAATCAGATGAGGCAGCTGAAGAACATAATTCTATCGGTTTTGACCCAATCTCTGAATAAACCTTCGATATGAAAACGAATTAGCTGATGCAGATGAGGACATTTCACCGAACTCTATTTCCTCTAACCAAAAATGTTATCAATATTCTAGCTTTTATCTTTCATTCAATCTCTGAATCAACCTCTAAAACATAATTAATCAACTGAGGCTGATTTGGAACCTGTACCGACCATAGGTCTATTACCTTTGACCCAATATAATTCCCATTCTAGCTCCCAGCTTCAATTCAATCCCTGACTTACCCTCTGAAATGAACAAATGGACTGCTGAGGCAGATGAGGAAACTTACAGAACATTGCATTATCCATCTGCTGTTATCAGGATATCACGATTTCCGTCAGGTGTTTAATTATACTGAATGTGACTGAAGGAACGTGATATTCGAACTTGAAAATCATCAAAGCTACTGCAGGGTAGTGCGTAATTCTAAGACTCTTTGACTAGAATCCTACAAGACGCCATTGTAACTATCTAATTGAAATAATTTCACGTGATCGTATTCGAGGAACACGATATTCCAGGAAAATTAATGGAGGAAGACAGACGGAGACGAAATTCCAGTGAAATTAGTTTTTCACATGAATTATTCATTGATCTCGATGATTGCATTGGGACAATAGTATAATTTTCAATTATAATATTTTGTACCGGGTGTACCACTAAGGAAGGAAACAAATTGACGCACAGTTTTCGGAAAAAATATCAATGTTGAAAGTGGCCAAGAGAAATTATTTCCATTTTATAATATATTAATTCCATTGGTCAATATAAAAAACAGGATTTTGTGAGAATATACCTAATATCAAGATATGTCGAAAATACTTTTTCATAATCTCGAGTTGATTTCCAATCATTTCGATAATAAAAAAATGCGCTAGCTCTTCAAATAAATGAAGGAGGGGAGGATAAATAGTGCTTTGGAAAAACTCATATTACTACAGTTTGGTGTAACAGAATTCAACGAACTTGGTCTCATTATAAAGGGATTTTTCAGTTCTTTCAGATGAATCACGAATCAGGTCGATTCAAATCTCGTGGTGTTCTCTAGATGGCATCTTTTAAAAAATCAGACAATTTTCCATTTTTTCTCGAGAATTCCATATAGAACCATATACTTATGTTTCTTACTCTTATATGAAAGTAGAGAAAACGAGCACTTACCTCTAAAGTTACGAAAGTGACTAGAATGAAATAGGAGATGATGATCAAGTAGACTTCGTTCATGGCAGGTTTCGAGACTACCGTCAGCAGAACTAGAACAAAGGAAAAAGTACAGTCGAGGGCAAAGACGATGTCACAGCTTTACCTCCGTATATGGCGATGCAACATCCGGAAGTGCATCCGAGGACCAGCAACTTGTCAGTCTTATTTCCGTGTGCTTCGATCGACCTAGGCAGTGCTAGGTCGATTACTGCTACTAGCAGAAAGCCGATACATAGCAGAAGTAGCAGGGAAATCAGATTGGTCATGTTGCTCTGGTTCATTTTGAGGAAATACCTCTGGTAGAGCATTTCCACCTGAAATGAGAAAATTAGATGTGTAAGATGTTCTTTGAACCTTGTGTCAATAGTTTTTCCAGTTTGGCCTACATATGTTTTTTTATATTCGTTACATCTTACTGATTCCGTGAGTTTCCGTTTCGAGTATGTCTTTAATAAATAACCTAGACTGATTTGGAAGTATCTGTAATCCATATCAAGCCCTTTCGTATACTTGAGATTGAAAATGATATCTTTATTGAATTGTTGAATGGAAAATATATGGAGGAGCTTGAAAGCTTCTTTGATCTCCAGCAATATCGATATACTCTGAATGAACCTTTCTCAATTTCTCATAATGCAAACAAGGATTCGCTCCAGGTACTCCATAAGTGATTAACGAATCAAAGATATTTATTCCTTTATGAAATCCTTCGTAGCTAAATGTAATTTCATCGAAAAATTCCACTTATAGGTCCCAGGATTTCAGGATTTCCAATGAAGGGTCTGATACAGTGAAGTGAGTCGTGAAAATACTTGCCTTTACAATGGATGAGATGTTAATTTTTCTTGTTCAAGAAAGAACTGTGATAGTTGAAGAGATCATGAAGTGTACTTCCGTCTTGTTTGAATATATATTCTCGTTTTTCCTTTTGCTCACGAACGAATTTGCATACCGCAAATATAGCTGTTTTCTCTGAACGCTTCAGCATTTCCCGACTTATTTAAACTTCTTGCAATTCAAATAACTTCAAGCCGAAACAGTCATATGTATGATACTTGTATTTCATGTGCATTTGAGACTAGCGAATAATTTATTGGAGCCATTTCAGTTATATTAAGGAAAGTTTCCAAGCAGAAAGCAGAACCACTTATACAGTGTGTCCCTCTCAAGGACTTACCACCCCTGTGAAATCGTTATTATCTGACCGATTTCGAGAAACTTCTTTTTGTTGAATAGGTATTTGAAATGTCCATCCAACGAGAGAGTGGTTTTATTCTCGGAAAAAATTTCGAAAAATGTAGTAATGTTGTGGTATTTCATTATCATTATTCAGGATCACTCGAAACATACAGTGTGTCCCCTTGCTCTGAAAAAAGTTCGAATTTTTTCCTAAGCCTACTCCTACTGATCAATTTCCCTAACTGAAATCTAAATGTTTGTGATCTGTCTAGATATCGCTTCCATTTTGGTTCTGTGACCTAATTAGGCAGTTTTTCGACCCAAAAAAGTCAATGGTGGAAACAGAATTGAGCTATCTCTGCTCTGAAAAAAGTTCGATTTTTTTCCTAGGACCTACTGATCAATTCCTTAACTGAAATCTAAATGTTTGTGATCTGTCTAGATATCGCTTCCTTGCCGGTTCTGTGACCTAATTAGGCAGTTTTTCGACCCAAAAAAGTCAATAGTGAAAACAGAATTGAGCTATCTTTGCTCTGAAAAAAGTTCGATTTTTTTCCTAGGACCTACTGATCAATTTCCATAACTGAAATCTAAATGTTCGTGATCTGTCTAGATATCGCTTCCATTTCGGTTCTGTGACCTAATTAGGCAGTTTTTCGACCCAAAAAAGTCAATGGTGAAAACAGAATTGAGCTATCTCTGCTCTGAAAAAAGTCCGAATTTTTTCCTAGGACCTACTGATCAATTTTCTCAACTGAAATCTCAATGTTTTTGATCTGTCTAGATATCGCTTCCTTTCCGGTTCTGTGACCTAATTAGGCAGTTTTTCGACCCAAAAAAGTCAATGGTGAAAACAGAATTGAGCTATCTCTGCTCTGAAAAAAGTTCGAATTTTTTCGTAGGACCTACTGATCAATTTCCTTGACTGAATTCTAAATGTTTGTGATCTGTCTAGATATCGCTTCCTTTTCGGTTCTGTGACCTAATTAGGCAGTTTTTCGACCCAAAAAAGTCAATGGTGAAAACAGAATTGAGCTATCTCTGCTCTGAAAAAAGTTCGATTTTTTTCCTAGGACCTACTGATCAATTCCTTGACTGAAATCTAAATGTTTGTGATCTGTCTAGATATCGCTTCCTTGCCGGTTCTGTGACCTAATTAGGCAGTTTTTCGACCCAAAAAAGTCAATGGTGAAAACAGAATTGAACTATCTTTGCTCTGAAAAAAGTTCGATTTTTTTCCTAGGACCTACTGATCAATTTTCATAACTGAAATCTAAATGTTCGTGATCTGTCTAGATATCGCTTCCATTTCGGTTCTGTGACCTAAGTAGGCAGTTTTTCGACCCAAAAAAGTCAATGGTGAAAACAGAATTGAGCTATCTCTGCTCTGAAAAAAGTTCGAATTTTTTCCTAGGACCTACTGATCAATCTCCTCAACTGTAATCTAAATGTTCGTGATCCGTCTAGATATCGCTTCCATTTCGGTTCTGTGACCTTAATAGGCAGTTTTTCGACCCAAAAAAGTCAATGGTGAAAACAGAATTGAGCTATCTCTGCTCTGAAAAAAGTTCGAATTTTTTCGTAGGACCTACTGATCAATTTCCTTGACTGAATTCTAAATGTTTGTGATCTGTCTAGATATCGCTTCCTTTCCGGTTCTGTGACCTAATTAGGCAGTTTTTCGACCCAAAAAAGTCAATGGTGAAAACAGAATTGAGCTATCTCTGCTCTGAAAAAAGTTCGAATTTTTTCCTAGGACCTACTGATCAATTTTCTCAACTGAAATCTCAATGTTTTTGATCTGTCTAGATATCGCTTCCTTTCCGGTTCTGTGACCTAATTAGGCAGTTTTTCGACCCAAAAAAGTCAATGGTGAAAACAGAATTGAGCTATCTCTGCTCTGAAAAAAGTTCGAATTTTTTCGTAGGACCTACTGATCAATTTCCTTGACTGAATTCTAAATGTTTGTGATCTGTCTAGATATCGCTTCCTTTTCGGTTCTGTGACCTAATGAGGCAGTTTTTCGACCCAAAAAAGTCAATGGTGAAAACAGAATTGAGCTATCTCTGCTCTGAAAAAAGTTCGAATTTTTTCGTAGGACCTACTGATCGATTTCCTTGACTGAATTCTAAATGTTTGTGATCTGTCTAGATATCGCTTCCTTTTCGGTTCTGTGACCTAATTAGGCAGTTTTTCGACCCAAAAAAGTCAATGGTGAAAACAGAATTGAGCTATCTCAGCTCTGAAAAAAGTTCGATTTTTTTCCTAGGACCTACTGATCAATACCTTAACTGAAATCTAAATGTTTGTGATCTGTCTAGATATCGCTTCCTTGCCGGTTCTGTGACCTAATTAGGCAGTTTTTCGACCCAAAAAAGTCAATGGTGAAAACAGAATTGAGCTATCTTTCCTCTGAAAAAAGTTCGATTTTTTTCCTAGGACCTACTGATCAATTCCTTAACTGAAATCTAAATGTTTGTGATCTGTCTAGATATCGCTTCCTTTTCGGTTCTGTGACCTAATTAGGCAGTTTTTCGACCCAAAAAAGTCAATGGTGGAAACAGAATTGAGCTATCTCTGCTCTGAAAAAAGTTCGAATTTTTTCGTAGGACCTACTGATCAATTTCCTTGACTGAATTCTAAATGTTTGTCTGATCTGTCTAGATATCGCTTCCATTTCGGTTCTGTGACCTAATTAGGCAGTTTTTCGACCCAAAAAAGTCAATGGTGGAAACAGAATTGAGCTATCTTTGCTCTGAAGAAAGTTCGATTTTTTTCCTAGGACCTACTGATCAATTCCTCAACTGAAATCTAAATGTTTGTGATCTGTCTAGATATCGCTTCCTTGCCGGTTCTGTGACCTAATTAGGCAGTTTTTCGACCCAAAAAAGTCAATGGTGAAAACAGAATTGAGCTATCTTTCCTCTGAAAAAAGTTCGATTTTTTTCCTAGGACCTACTGATCAATTCCTTAACTGAAATCTAAATGTTTGTGATCTGTCTAGATATCGCTTCCTTTTCGGTTCTGTGACCTAATTAGGCAGTTTTTCGACCCAAAAAAGTCAATGGTGGAAACAGAATTGAGCTATCTCTGCTCTGAAAAAAGTTCGAATTTTTTCGTAGGACCTACTGATCAATTTCCTTGACTGAATTCTAAATGTTTGTCTGATCTGTCTAGATATCGCTTCCATTTCGGTTCTGTGACCTAATTAGGCAGTTTTTCGACCCAACAAAGTCAATGGTGAAAACAGAATTGAGCTATCTTTGCTCTGAAAAAAGTTTGAATTTTTTCCTAGGACCTACTGATCAATTTCCTTAACTGAAATCTAAATGTTCGTCATCTGTCTAGATATCGCTTCCATTTCGGTTCTGTGACCTAATTAGGCAGTTTTTCGGCCCAAAAAAGTCAATGGTGAAAACAGAATTGAGCTATCTCAGCTCTGAAAAAAGTTCGATTTTTTTCCTAGGACCTACTGATCAATACCTTAACTGAAATCTAAATGTTTGTGATCTGTCTAGATATCGCTTCCTTGCCGGTTCTGTGACCTAATTAGGCAGTTTTTTGACCCAAAAAAGTCAATGGTGAAAACAGAATTGAGCTATCACTGCTCTGAAAAAAGTTCGATTTTTTTCCTAGGACCTACTGATCAATTCCTCAACTGAAATCTAAATGTTTGTGATCTGTCTAGATATCGCTTCCTTGCCGGTTCTGTGACCTAATTAGGCAGTTTTTCGACCCAAAAAAGTCAATGGTGAAAACAGAATTGAGCTATCTTTCCTCTGAAAAAAGTTCGATTTTTTTCCTAGGACCTACTGATCAATTCCTTAACTGAAATCTAAATGTTTGTGATCTGTCTAGATATCGCTTCCTTTTCGGTTCTGTGACCTAATTAGGCAGTTTTTCGACCCAAAAAAGTCAATGGTGGAAACAGAATTGAGCTATCTCTGCTCTGAAAAAAGTTCGAATTTTTTCGTAGGACCTACTGATCAATTTCCTTGACTGAATTCTAAATGTTTGTGATCTGTCTAGATATCGCTTCCATTTCGGTTCTGTGACCTAATTAGGCAGTTTTTCGACCCAAAAAAGTCAATGGTGAAAACAGAATTGAGCTATCTTTGCTCTGAAAAAAGTTCGA